TCTTGTACTAGCTTTCATTTTCTTTTTGACGCTTCTTGAGAAGAGAAGAAAGTCTTTCAAATCCCATGAAAATTGTGTTAGTTTTATCTGGAATTTCAACAAATATATCTCAGTTTATTTCCTTTAACGTACTCGTAATCGCATTATGTTTTCCTGCGAATAGCATCTGTACTAGACGCTTTTGGAAAGGTTTCCATGGGGCTTTTTACGTAATTAGCCATACACTGTGCGCAAAACATTTACAATACAGAATCTAGCAGTGAAGCTCATTTACCGGGCACATATATACCATAGTCACTTGTAAACGAACACTAAATCTAATGTGTTGCCAAGACAAGTAGAAGAGGTAACAGATTTCCATGATGTAATGATATAGGGAAACTACACTCACATGAATTCAAATTCCGATAGACCATAGACAAAGTTACTCAGAATGGAAGAGGCAAATTTAGCGAGTTCATCAGTAATAGTTGATAAATAGGAGAAACTGCAGTCGGATGTGAAATAGATGTTTGTTATGCAAATATATTTGTATTTACTCAAGTGTGTAGGACGACACTTAATAGTAATACAGTCAATATTGTCGTTGAAGCTAAAGCATACATAGTTGAAGGTGAACCATTTTGTATTGATGTGTTGTTACACCCCCCACTACACATCTCGGAAATACGTAGATCTTGTCGAAATAACTTGATACGACTTAAATAAACTAAAGCATCATTATTAAACCGTATGTCTTGCAATGTATTGCGTTAAATGTTTGTGGTTAAGAATGATTGAAAGTAGTCAATTTTTTTTTTCGGTATGCGCTTAGTATTTTCAGAAGAGTTAATTTGGTCTATGGTTGTACGCTTGATAGACGGTTACCATCCACCATGGTGCTTTTGCGGAGTGATAGGTTTAAATGATTTGAAAAATGCTCCAGAATATATAACACGATTAGAGGGCGCAATCGAATTCTTAGAAGAATGTAAGGGGAAGAAATTTGATGCAATATGTTTGCTCTTTTCCCGCGCATGGGTCACATTTCGTGTGACCTGCTAGTGTTCTGATTGGCTCCCGTCTCTTAAAATGCACTAATCATCCCTTGTCTTTCAAGATTATTGTAAACTCTATAAATAGAGTCTATTTTCACTCATAAACGTTTTCAGTCCGAGATACTATAAACTCGCCTGATTTCCAGTCTTTTGATTTCTCTTTGCGAATCACTCAGGTTGAATCGTCTCAACCCTCGACGATCAATCGTAAAGTATTTCAATTCGTTCTCACAACTCCGCATCATAGCAAATTTATTATTTGACTTCGGTAGCGTTATACGGATCAACTTGATAATTTGACAACCCTGGGAGTAGGTTATGTTTGTGAAACATAATACAGATATCTGAGCTTTTGATAAAGCAAGCATAACTAACTTGTTCCCCTCATCTCTATGCTGTTGATAAACTTCTGTTTTCTGGAGACATGATTATTTTTGTAAATTTGAATATGCTTCATCAGTGGGTATGTGTCATTGGTTTTGGAAATCAAGATAGTGAAGTGAATTGTTTAGGGTCACACATATGTACTGAATATCTAGATTTGTGCATTTACATAGAGTAATAACTACTTTTTCGACACCATCTTAAAATGGGAGATGATTCAGTTTTTCCGGTTGGTAATACGCCTATCAGAGTTTTTAATTTTAAATGTATCACAAATATATTTGTAGTGAGTATTTATATTCCGTTCGCTGTGAAACATGGCCATTGAAGGTGAAAGACATGAGAAGGCTTCAGGTGTTTGACCAACGTTCCCTTCGTAGTATAGATCGTATTCCGTGGTATCACCACGTGAGTAACGCATAAGTCAGGTGTAGAGTTTAAGCGACGGAGAAAAGGTGAATCAGTTGAAAAGGTTGTGAGCCTTCATCGACTGAGATGGTTGGGACACGTGTTACGTATGCGTAGTCGTCGATTGCCTCGTCACACAATGTTGGCTGAGGTGGGTCCGGGCTGGAAAAAGGCTCGAGGTGGCCAGACTGAAACATGTCATCGATGCATGAAGTCTTTGACTGTTGGTTTGAGCCATGCAGGGCGATGCAGACTAGGTGGTTGGGGTATATGGGACAAGAGGAACCAGTGGTTGGAGACTGACTCTAGGTGATCACATGGTTCAGAACTGAAGTCAGTGGCGTACATACATTAACCTCATCTTAACGCTATATCGAATCTCACCATTTTTCCATGCTTCCTTTCTCTTTTTTAGTACGTTATATTTCTTTTGACTGAATTTTTTTTATCTTGATCTTCCACTTCACTGCCTTTTTACTTGATGTACTGATATGAGCTGTGGCAACTCGGACTGTTAAACAGTAATGCCTTGGCCTATGTTGATATTGATGATGATGGTGATTTATATTCTGTGTGGAATAATGTGTATATGATGCTGTTGAGAAGGCATCAATACTCATAATTCCTACATTGAGCAGTTTCTCTGAATGGTTATTCGAAATATACATAACCATTTTGTTCCAGCTGCTAGATTCACGTATGGTATGTAAATAGTGAATCGTATCCTAATCTGTTATAATGCAGATACATTCATATATCGTCTACATCTCAATCACCGTTCCGAATTTCATTGTTATTCGCTCCTTGTTTCTCTCTTTTTATGACATTCTACTGCTTTTTATTTCTTTCTCCGTCATTTCTATCTTTTATATTGAAGCCTTCTACTTTGATTTCTCGTTGTTGGGTCGAAAAGTGAACTGTTACGCAGTAGTGTTAGATCCTGTGCTTATATTGAGTTTTTTTTTATTCCTCAGAAGTACTAAGTGAAACAGTTTCACCTTGGGTGAGGTCTGATTGTATTTTAGTTAAGTGTTAGAGATAAACTATGAGTAATCAGGTCTTCTTTTGTGTACACAAGACAACAGTGCAATATTTAGACTTGATAAATGAAAATTGAAGAAGAATCATATAAAACCTTCCTTTTTACCAAATGTCGTCAAATTCTTCCGTTTTCAAACTGTCAAGTTAACAACGAAACAAAGAGAAAACTTTACGCCGGAAGGAAATAAACTTGTAAAGGCTCAAAAGCACAGCATATTACTATTTATGGGATACGGATACCTGTGTTGTATTACAGATTTTGGTTCTGAGCGATTGAACTATGGCAGCCAAAATTACACTGGACTATTTATTTATTCCCGTCTCTAGACCAGGTGTTTATTTACCACCAGCTGCCAGTTTCATATTAGTGCCTTTAATACTGTTATTATTATTATTATTATTATTATTATTATTATTAACGCTATTCAGATACAATATTTATTTCTTTGAAAAAATATTGTACAGAGAACGAATTTATTGAAATATTACATGCTTAGAATTCCTTACTGTATCACATATGTTGTTTGGAACATAGCGATTAATATTAGAATACGTAACTGGTTGGAGGACACGCGAATGCCTTCAACCTGTCAAGCTCATTGTCAACCGGATTTACTGTAGCATAGGAAACTGAACATTTTGGACGGAACACTAGTTTGATATTTAACTTCAAAGACATAGAAACCTGAGTGAACGTTCAGCAGCTGAGCTTGTCCTGAAAAACTGATGTATGCTTTCAACGTAAGCGTCCAAGTAAAGATTTATTAGACATACGAGAAGAAACCATATCGTGTGAAGATGACGTTATATGCGAACATATTGAAAGCAATAGGTATTTGAGATATGGAGTCATGACCAAGCAGGTCTAAATCCTGGCGATTTGTGAGTTTATATACATCATTGAATCGTCACCCTCGAAACTGAACGGGGCAGGTAATTTCACCAACACGTTTTAGCACATCTTTAGAAACATTTCAAGCAGTGTATTGATTGTATCTGTGGTCACCCAATTGTGTACCCCATGTTGCGAGAAATTAAGGTTATATCAAGAGCTATATCAAGTTGAAGACGAAGAGACTGGGCATCAACAAATTGGTTACCATGTTTTCCGTTGCTCCTAAAATCAAATTTGAAAGTTGCAAAGATTCTTTGAACTTAATTCGAGGAATTGGGCTTGGAAAGAGAACATTTAGTTTTCATGGGAGTATTTTTCTTTGGAGAATAGTAACCTTCTTTATGCCCAAAGCGATGACAGTGTCGATACTTTTGCTTTATGAATGGATAAAAGTTAACAAAACACTATCATAATCCAATGAAATAGAGGCGAAGGAATACAGAAGTGGAGAATCATTTTAATCGCTAATCACCGAGTCTTCAAATTAAACCAACAGGTCCATACACGTGATTTTCGTTACTCACTACCAAAGTGTATACATGGGAAATTAATTGGACATAAAGACAATGTTCTGCGTAAAGTAATTGAAGAAGGATAGACATAGATTTCGCAAGCAAACCACATACAACCTTCAGCAAAGACATCAAACAACAAAAAGCAAAATTCTAATCTTGAAGTTTTGTTAGATACTTTTCATGCGCAACGTGTGGAAACACAGGTTGCAGAGCAAAGATAGTTCATTCCTACCAAATGGATCCAAAATGGAAGTAGTACACTCTTTACAAGTGAGGTAATAGAAAATGGCCTGAATAGGAATAAGCAATTTAAAGTTATCAGTCGCTAAGGTAGAGTTTTTTGTATTTCAAATTTTGCTTCATATCGCTGCATGAGTGGTCAGGGAACACCTTATTAGGTAATTTATCCTACAGAGTTGACCAATCAAAATAAATATTTGACCTTGTGGTTTTATATTTCACAGGCTGGTCTTTGCCTTCTGAGGGAGAACAGTCGCTACTTGTATGCAGTCTAATTGTTTCGTCGCATTAATATTATTGTTCGCATATTTCTTATTCTACACTGAGTGATTTTGCTAGTTATTGGTAAAATATGATTTTTAATCTACCTGTTATGCGAAACATACTGCCGATTTTCCTCAATAGTTGGATGTCTCATTATATTCTTGAATGACTTTTTTTTAAACTACTTTTTACTGTGCTTAACTATCTGTATTTTAGGTACTGCCTATTCACAGTAGAATGTCTGATCCTCGTGGATATGGATCATGGTGTGGTGTTCTTAATACTGGGATGATGATTGTAGTTTGTTTAAATCTTGCTATTGGATTCTATGGATTTTTAAGGTTTGGTGAAAATTCCGAAGGAAGTATTACATTGAATATACCTCAGATACCTTAGTAAGTTTTAGTTATATTATTTAGTAGATTCGTGGCGTTTTTAGAATTTCATAGCTTCTAATCATTTCATTTTTCTATGAACTACCCGTCAGGGTTCTTTTGCTAGCAATCCATACGCTTAGGTTGAATGAAATTTTACCTATTTTGTTAATTTTATTCAAAGATGTATGTCATTAAAGAATATTATGATTTCGAAAAGTGCTATATGCTATGACAGCTAACGATGCATGGATATCGAGTATCAGTTACCAACATTCAACAAATTCCTAGTCGATTCCCGACCCAACTAATTAATGGAGAAGACACAATGGATGTGTAGCAACGTGTATTGGGATCGAAAAGACTGAAGACCCCAAAAAACAAAGCGAAATATATCCAATATATAAATAGTTTTCCATTTAAAATAGTACTATTGAAAGGAAACTCGAAGTCCCTGTAAAAGACCTCGATGTCTCCATCGTCGAACACTTCAGGCCACAGAATCTTCATCATGTCCAGAAGCAGTGACATCAGTTGAAACGGAAACGAGAAGGTAGAGCCGAAAGAAAGAATGTTTATTGTTTATTGTTAACTAAGACAGTCATTTGAAAAATGTTCTTCATTTCATCCTCTGTTTCTCTCTTGATTTACTCTTGATACACCTGCGTTGTTTCTTGCATTTCTCTTGGAAGAATCCTTACCCATTGCTGGTAATTCCTTATGATTTCTACCACCCTCTCGACATATACTACTCATATCCATTCTTACCAGCAACACCTACTACACTGTTAATTGACTGACCCATCGTCTGTCTTTCTAACTGTAGATGTGATAATATTATAAAGTGCATTTTTAATACTCGCTCTCCAGATTAGGCTTTTCTCTTTGTCCTCATATCAAATATAGTTACATTTATTATCCGTATATTATGCGTTGTGTCAAGGTTGCCTACTATCTCCCATGATATTCCTTATTGTAGTGGACAGGATCATGCAGCAAACAGTAGGCAGCGAGAAGAGGGGGATACACTGGACGGCGGAAAAGAACCTAGAAGACTTGGATTTCGCCGATGACTTATGCCTAATGTCACACAAACTTGAAGATCTACAGGTGAAAACTAACAAGTTGATAGAAGAGGCAGCTAAGACGGGACTTCAGGTGAATATAGAGAAGACAGAAGTGATGAAGATACCGCACCACCACCAACAACTCCAACTCCAACAACAAACTCCAATCACCATCAACGGGAGAAACTTGAAGGAAGTAACCTCCTTCACTTATCTAGGAAGCACTGTTTCAACTACAGGCGGGACGGACGAGGACGTCAAAGTCAGAATCGGAAAAGCAAGACAGGCGTTCATTAGCCTGAAACCAGTGTGGAGATCTTCTGCACTCAGCATGCGGAACAAGATGCGGATTTTCAACACCAACGTCAAGTCAGTGCTCTTGTATGGCTCAGAGACTTGGCGCGTCACGAAAGGCATTTCCAATAAACTACAGACATTCATCAACAACTGCTTACGCTCGCTGCTGAAGATCAGATGGCCAGAAAAATAAGCAACAAGGAACTCTGGGAACGAACCAACCAAGAACCTATCACTCAACAAATATGCAGGAGGAAGTGGAGATGGATTGGCCATGCACTGAGAAGGCCGACTGAGGACATCACGCGTCACGCCCTCGAGTGGAACCCCGATGGGAAGCGACGAGTTGGACGTCCAAGGGTGACATGGAGGAGGTCGTGCGAAGAGGAAATGAGAGGTTGTGGGCTGTCGTGGGACCAGGTCCAAAAGATCTCAGAGAACAGAGGTCACTGGAGGCTTGCTACTGAAGCCCTATGTTCCACTAGGAACCCAAGGGACTAATAATAAAAAATAATATTATGCGTTGTGTAAGTACAATAATTCGTTTCAATTCTACTCTTTAGAATATTATAGTTTATGGTTTCGATTCAATCTTTATTCATTGTTTACTTCAGAGACAATTCACTTATTACATCCTCAATAAAAATGCACTAAAAAATATATTGAATTTCAGTACGATAACGCTGTAAGTAGTGTTATGAAAGTTTAACTTATCTCAGATAATCATAATTTGAACATCTCAATGTTTTGAACTGTTACAGAAAGCAATCTTTTTATTCTATATTGTAATGATCTATCAATTGTTGTACAATAGAATGATATCTCGATGTTTCTTTTGCTATTTTCTTAACTGACTTTCATATTGCTTAAGGTTTGGATATTGTTTGGAGTTTTATGAAGTATTAGTAAGTAGTATGTTTTTGCCAATGTACTGTTAGTAATAGTATCTATAAGTTAACATTTTTGTGGTGTAATTTTTTCAATGCAAACTTGACGACAAATAATACTCAAGTATAAGCTTTTTCTTCGTCACAGTGACTATATTTTACCTTAAACTGTTGTTTATATTACTAAAGCTGTATCATTACCACTAAAGTGTCTAAACTGAACTGAATTCCCTCTCTACCTAGGCTTGTTTTAATTTTTTTTTTTCAAGCATTTACTGATTAATCACCATCGTGGTGCGCTTTTCCACGGATACTAGTTGGTTGGAGTCAAATGACAGAAAGTCTTTGACCTTGGTCTCATACTTGATGACAAGTCAGAAACGTAGGAACATTCAAGTAACTGATGGGAAGTCTTTTAGCGTGGTAACCATATTAAAGCATGTTCGGTGGTGGTAGAGAATACTTGTATTCCATGAGGATGATTTCGGTTATGTTGTGTTCTCTGAGATATATGGTCTAATCATTTCAGACAACATCAGCACAAACTTCAGATAGAAGTGACTTATGAATTTTTCTTGACTAGTGGCTTAGTAGCTTGTTTTGATGACGTTCAGTATGATTGGTTGTTCCTGCTAAAATCTTGTCATTATCTCATTATGTGTTCCCACTGGCTGTTTTGCTGGTGTGAATTTTGTGTTGGTTAACAGATTGGGTCACTGCCAGTACGCCTATTGATCTCTGACTGAGCTGATATTTACGCTTCTAGAAATTTTCTGTCATTCTGTGTATATATTTTGAAAACCATTAGCGTAATATCTCCCGGGTTACCATAACGTTTCACTATCACATGGTCGATTCATAAGATTGTTAATTAATTAAGTATTGGCTTTTTACCTTCCCTGAGGACAGACGAGAAGAGAGATAAAAAATGCGTTGGGTGTTCATCATCAGATAAAACATCTGTTGCCAACTGTTTTCTTGATTTCAGATGCTTTCCCACAACCGAGTTTATCAGTACGGTCAACGGTGTATCACCCACTCTAATGGTGATAGCTCTCAAAGTTGTACACAACTCAGCATAGTCTTTTCCTTGAAGTCTAGGAAAGAATAAGTTGACTGGTAAGTAAGTTAAGAACTACTGAAACATAGGAGTTGCAGTTTCAAGTGAAGGATTTTCCTCGAAATCAGTAGAATATGCTGCGGGGGGCGGGGCGGGTTGCAAAGATAAATCAGAGGAAAAGCAAATGCCGAGTTGGATCACACTTGATACATTCTCCACTAAAGAGCCATCAATAAGGTAGGAATCATAGAAATGAAGCAGTTCACATAAATCTTTTTCACGTCTTCAGCTAAAATCAACCATCTGATGTTTAGAAGGGTTAAACGGTAGGCCATTCAAGGAGAACAGGTGACTGTTTTCAGCTAAGGAGTTATTAAACTAATATCAATCTGAAGAGGAAGAGGTGATCAGCATGGGTGCGCTATCATGCTATCCAGATATGTAACACAATTAATTTTGGTTTAGATAGGTACTTCATGCAGAAAGAAAGAGGAAAGAACACCACTTTGATGCACTCCAGTTTCGCTAAGCAGGGTGTGTGTGTGTGTGTGTGTGTGTGTGTAATACTTCCCTATTTTTAAAGCTCACTGCATTCTCTCAGAAAAATAAAAATGAGAGCAGTTTGTGATCTATAACTCAGTGTGTGTTCTCGCAAGCTTTACAATAAAAGGGATCGAATGACAGAATCAGATACAAAAATATCCAATAAAATGGCAGACTTAACATATTTAGCACCTTTATCCAGATCGAGAATAATGTTATTGTGTCAAATACCTTAAGGATGTAAATTACACATAGGCATTTAGACAAACTAATGATTTGGAATACCGAATGTTTCAACGGTTGTTCAACCACACGATGTAGCAATTTTTACATCATTTTTATAAATGATGAGGTTATTGCTCTTGAAGATATGCACTTCGGTATGGAAACTACTTTAATTTCTTTCCAGATGGTTAATATGTCGTTTTTAGCAAAAGACTTTAAAAATATTTATGAATGAGTGACACAGAGTATCAGCACGATTGCTCAATAAGTAGAATACCTGACGTGCTATCTGATTTCGAGCTATATGAAGGTTTTAATGGCTTTCAACATTTGAATACATCTGTTCCATCGAACTTGGAAAAGCTTCCTTCTGTTATATGTGAAGAATTAGGTAGGGTAACGTTGGCAGGCTTACGTATGAATAGCTAGTGTAAAGCATAGATGCTTTTTTGGCATGCTTTTCCCCTGAATTTTCTACCCGTAAGATCTTTAAACAGTTCCCATATACTATGAAGGTTTTTACAGGATATAATCTTTTGGTTATGCCTTTATTTTAAGTGTTTTGTTTCAGGCTCAGTTAAGCTGTTAAGTCATTTAATGCCAGCTAACCAGACAGGTTTCAGATCTGGAAGAGGATGTATCGACCATATTTTGACCTTCTGACAGGTTTTGGAATACAGGCATTCTTACTGGTGACCGACGTTGACCTGAAGGCGGTGTTTAACTCTGTCGACCGTGAGGTGTTTTGGTAGTGTTTCACTGTGAAGGGAGTACCACGCACGCATTTAATGCTTATCAAAGCTCTGTGCTCAAACTCATACAGCCGTGTAAGGGCTTATGGAGAGTTGTCATCTGAACTAATGGCGTCCACTCGGGATGCCCGGTATCACCGTTTGCGTGCAACTTCCTCATAGGTGTGCTATTGAACATAAACTTATGCACTTCCGACTTCTCAGGGATATTGACCTACTCCTTGGAGGGTATATGGTTGACTTCGAGTACGCAGACCACATTGTCTGGCTATGTGAAAACGCTGACAAAATACAGCGTGTTTTGAACGTGTCGAGTAGTAATCAATAATCTGGCATATGTTTCGTTGGCACCTGTCGATTGTAAGCTGATACTCCTGGACTGGTCTGCTGCAAGTACTCCCAGTTCAATGTTAAGAAGTGAAGATGTGGAATGTATCAACTACTTCACTTACTTGGGGAGTTGTTGACAAAATCTCAACTGGGATGCAGAAGGCCCGTTTAGCATTCAGCAACCTGCGTCATCTGTCCCACCGATTGATGAGATATCCATTTTTTTGAAGGACAAGTATACTGCACTGCAGTCCATTCTATCGTATTGTGCGGTTGTGAGACATGGTCGTTGAAGGTAGAAGATATGAAGCGGTTAGATGGTTTTTATCATATATATCTTCGTAAGATTGCTTACCTTTGGTGAAATCATTGTATGAGCAACGTGTATCTGAGTTTACGCCTGTTGTTGTGTATTTAGTTTTCTTTTATTAGCATGGGAAAGTATTTTTCTGTAGTTTGTCATATACTTTTGACCGAACATACAAGGTGAGTGTTATTACTAATTCATCTCTCAGACTTAAGTTGCTTGGTGGTTTTTAATTGTTGATACTAGTATCTAGTTATGAAGCTTTTTCTACTTCTTGTATGCTTTGGTACCTATGTCTCCTGAAGAATCTGTTATTTCTCCTCTAATTATTTCTTTTCAGTTGGTTTGCTCCTGTGAAACCATTGTTCATTGTGGCTATGTTTATTAGTTATTTGTTACAATACTATGTCCCAGCATCTATATTTAGTCGCCTAATGGAGAAGTTAAAGTGTCATCGTGAAGCATCTAATCGACGAAGGTATATTAATTTGAAAGCAATGCGAATCAGTTTAGTTATATTTTCATGTAAGTTTGATTATAGATGTATTACTGTATGCAACTGGTATGCATGGTGGGTTACGGTGGGTTTTTTCATCATACGATACTATTTTTGATGAACAGATGGCAATCATGTTGATATTATGGAGATGGGGATGACGTATTCACTTTTGGATAGTCATTAGAGTTTAGTTGGTAGTTATACTTTGACTCAGGTGTGGATCCGACACTAAGAAAATAAAGCTTAGAAATAAAACTGTCGAGACATCTACAGCTTGGGACGTGAATATGTAGTAGTTTACTGAATTCAAGTGCCGGATGGAGGTGTTAACAAACCAGGATCTAAATTATTGTCTCAGTCTATGCTTCCTCATTCATCGGCTTTGATGAGTGACTGACCGACAAAATCTTAGTACAGATACAAAAGGCTCGCTTGGATTTTGAAAACCTAAGCTGTCTATGGTAGCAGCATAATGTGCGATTGCCTCTATAAGGTCTAATCTACTGCGCTACAGTTCTCTTAATTCCACTGTATAGTTGTGAAATATGAACATAAAGGATATGAGAAAGTTTCAGGTGTTGGACCTTCGTAGTCATAGGCCTTGTCGTGGTGCCATCTCGTCAGTAACGCAGAAATCAGTTTTAAGAAAGTAAATTAATGAGGTTGTGAACTTGGATGGCAGAGGCACATGGTACGCATACCTGGTCGCCATCTACCCAGTTGTCCAATGTCGACTGAAGTAGATTTAGGCAGAAAAAAGACCAAAAGCGGTCTGACTAAAACATGGCATCAGTCTGTGCAGTCTCTGATCATGTACGGAACTGCATACTTTCCTGTCAGGCTCCGTGTGACAACCAAGATCGGTGTTTGAAGATTAGATTGTGTGGCTAAGTGGCGCAGATGTATCCGCATATCATGGAACTTCGTTATTGGTTTATCCTTTCTTCTTCTTTCTCTCTTCTTTATTTCTCCATCTTTCATCTTGGTATCTTCTACTTTGGTGTTGCGATGTAAGGTGTGGTGACTGAGATCTGTACTCATTAGTGGTCAGGTCGCATGTTGATACTGACGGACTCCTTTCATTTTTAACTAACTACTCTTGATATTCATGGAGTTGGTTTTGGGAGCTCGAACATGGCTTCACCTACTGAGGTTTAGACAGCTAGGTAGTAGTATCATTAAGCCTCACACAATAGGTGTGGCTTATTGCCTGTTGCAAGAATATGCACAAGGTTGTTAAGTAGATTTTAATTCAGAAAATTTTAAATCTTAGTTTTCAGCACCTGTTTTTTTCTAAATAAGCTCACGAGTTTATGTTTTATGCATTCTGTTTGAGTATTGGTTTTGTTATTCATATTTTAAGCCAATTGTTGTAGTTTACAAGTTAATCTTATATGTGGTCTCCTAAATGATTCAATGGTCTATTGATTCTCATAGTGTTTCCGTCTGTCCTTTTTCGATTCTTAAACCGACTTGTTATATGACTTAGTTTTTGTGTATCGGCGTTGAAAAGTCTACCCTTTACATTTTTAATATTCAATGGCGTTTTTATTCACTCTGTTCGCTTTATATGTTTTATTGTACAGGTCAACAACTTAAACTGACCTATTTATTAGAGCATTTCTGACATATTTAAGAGCGTTTATATAATCATTAAAATACACATTTATTCTTGTTGATATTCAATGTTTTTTTAAAACTGTACATAATCTCAAATCTACATTGATTATAAAGTTAGATAAGATAATAATTTAGGGAGTTTTAAGATTGTCATAACTTACCGAAGTGTAGTATTGCTAAATAAATGGGATGCATTTAAAAAGAATAAACTGAAAGTATTATAAAATGCGATGTAAAAGGTATATAGTATCATAGATAATCTTATGAAGGTTTCCCTCTCGTTACCTAATGACACAGACGTTGACTCAATCACAGGTGAATTTTATTTAGATCTACAATATGCAGATGACATAGTCCTGTTAAGTGAAGACGCTGACAAGATGCAGAGTCTTCTGAACACCTTGAGTGCGAATTTGAGAATGTTTGGGATGCGATTTTCACCACCCAAATGTAAATTTTTGCTCGAGGACTGGTCTTGAGCGGTACCGCGGTTAACAATAGAGAGTGAAGTGGTTGAGTATGTTGACCACTTCACTTACCTGGGAAGTGGGATCAGCCCTACCCTGGTGGGTTAGTTGCCGATGAGATCTCTGCACGGATACAAAAGGCTCGATTGGCTTTTGCCAATTTGCGCCAGTTGTGGCGCCGCCGTGATATCCGTTTGTCTATTAAGGGTCGCGTGTACTGCACCTGTACAGCAGTCCGCTCTGTTCTACTGTATGTCTGTGAAACATGGCCATTGAAAGTGGAAGATATAAAAAGGCTTGAGGTGTTTGGCCACCGTTGCCTTCGTAGTATAGGACGTATTCCGTGGTGTCACCATGTGAGTAATGCAGAAGTCAGGTGTAGAGTTTTAGTGAGGTAGAAGAGGTAAGTCAGTTGACGAGGTTATGAACCCTCATCGACTGAGATGGTTGGGACACGTACTACGTATGCCTAGTTGTCGATTGCGTCGTCAGACAATGTTGGCTGAGGTGGGTCCAGGCTGGAAAAAGGCTCAAGGTGGCCAGACTAAAACATGGCACCAATGTATGAAGTCTCTGACTGTTTGTTTAAGCCATGTAGGGTGATGCAGACTAGGTGGTTGGGGTTGGTGGGACAAGAGGAACCAGTGGTTGGAGACTGACTGTAGGTGATATGTCTGAGAACCGAAGTCAGTGGCGCAGATGTATACACTCATTATCGTCATCGTAACTACACTATGCCGAATCTCACCATTTTGTCACTCCTCTTTCCTTTCTTCTCATGCTTTATATTTTTAGCTGCATTCACTTATCTTCATCCTTCACCTCACTACCTTTCTACTTGATGAACTGACGTGAGGTGTGGCAACTCGGACCGTGAGGCAGTAATGCCTGGTCTTATGTTGATAATGATGATGAGTATGTCTGTAACGATATGACGCCTAACAACCGCCACTGCATGGACGACTGTATGCCTTACATTCCTTAATATGTTTACCAGTTTATGTAGGCCGGAATAATTGAGTAATGCAGTTCCATGTAGGAGAACATGTATCTAAACGGTTTTGAAAACATCTAGAATGTAAAACTTGAAGCGCTAGTGAAAGACAACCCTTTTCATCTTTAGCTCTATATATATATATATATATATATATATATTATAGAAACGGATGCAAACAGTTTTTTTTAGAGTTTTATATTGAAACAGTGGAGTGTGTATACTGAGAGTCATGCTTCCGCTTCCTCCATGAATACTTATATCAGTATATAACTAGTAACCAACGTTGTTTATAATGACAATTTATGAAAAAGTAATTCATTCCTCTTATTACCATTTTCATATACGTATTTCTAGATGCAGCTGCTGTCCTCATCCCTCGAATTGATCTAATGATATCATTGATGGGATCATTTGCTGGTTCTCTACTTGGTTTTATATTACCTGCTGTATTGGAGTTAATCTTTTTATGGCCTGAACATGATCAAATCCAATCATTTTGGTTGAAAATATTTACTAAGCATATAATTTTCATTTTAATTGGTTTGCTTAGTTTTATTGGAGGTACAATTGCTACAATAATACAGATAATTGAAGCATTTGGTTCATCATAATCTAACCTATGCTTTTGTTATTATATATATATATATATATATATATATAAGCGCACAATACTATTTGACGATTATTTTGTATTCGTTTTGGGATACTTATTTCCTACAGTTCATTAGTATAAAGCTACAATATTTGTTGATTGATTCCTACTTCAGCATAATAAAATAACGTTACCATAATGTGCCTATGCTAATAAATAGAATTTAAAAAAAAACCTTTTTTCAATGATTGAATAATAATAATAACAATAATTTATACTTGAAAATAATGTTTATTTGTTGAATTTTTTGTTGTTGTTGAAAATTCGGTACATTCTATGCCGTTTGGTGGTATATTATAAGAAGTTCATTGAAAAAAATTATATATATCTATATTTTTGGAATGTTTATCATGATTAAGGTTTATATTTTTCATCATATGATAATACCGATGTTTATTTATTTATTGTATTGAGTAATCTCATTTTTCATAGATTATAAAAATGATTTCATAACTATGTATTAGATTATGTCAGAATTTGGTATATGTTTGAATTGGTTGTAAGAAACACAAGTCGTATATTAGTTTGGATATTGACCGGTATTTAAAGTGATTGTATCATGTTTCTGGGTTTCATTATCTTCTACAAAACTATATTACGCTTATCTAGGAATTATTGTTAGTGTACCTCAATCCAGTTTTATTTTCTATAATGGATTTTAAATTGAAGTAAGAGGTAAATACATGACAATGATATATCAGTCCAATTGGTTTCCACTGTCAGTGAGTTTATAATCGATAAATGGATGGTACAGCTTCTTCATGTAAGAATCTGTTTTAATAACCATAATACTACACTTTTTCAGATGATCGAAAGTAACTAAGATTTTTTCTCGTGGTTAGAAAGTTAACTGAATTTAAGTTATGATTTATTATATATATTATTTGTCCGTTGGGTTCCTAATGGAACATAGGGCTTCAGTAGCACATCTTTTGAACCTGGCTTCACGGCAGCCCAGAAGCTCTCATTTCCTCCTCGCACGATCTCCTTCATGTCACCCTCGGACACCCAACTCGTCGCTTCCTATTTGGGTTCCACTCGAGTGCCTGACGCATGATGTCCCCAGTCGGCCTTCTCAGTGTATGCCTGATCCATCTCCACTTCCTTCTGCATTTTAGTTTTGATGATATTCATATATGACTTTTATTGCTTCCCAATTTTGGACTTCAGACAATGTGCCAATATCGCATGTTCCACTAGTTATTCATTTAGCATTCATTTTTAAGTTGAGGAATAGGCTTTTCAGTTAAACATGCATACTTTCTGAAGCGTATGCTATGGAAATATCTGCCTTTCACCTATGTTAAGAATACCCAATCCCTAAGAGAAACTAACTTATAACATGTATATATTATCAATGTAAAATTTAAACCACACTTTCGTGCCGGTTTTACTCCATGGAATGTTACTTATTTTTACGGTGGTTTAGGATATTGAACACTGATTGGTTCATTTTTTACTTTTAATATGCTCTTTTGTTTTCCCTCACCAAGGCCATCTGAGGGGATATTAACGACTGAATTTCCAGTTATAAGAACCATTCGGTTAAAGCAAATATACTTTCAATGCTATTGTGTTCTACTTCTGATGTCAGCTGAATGGTCGTGTTGAGAAGTCTTTGTTCTATTGTCAGTCGTATCACGTCGAAGCATTATATGTTCGTATTTACCACAGGTCATGACAACTTATCGCTATCGGTAGTGAATAATGGGAGTGTCTTTTGTATCAAGTTGGATGCTAGTGAATCATTATGATCCTCTGCCTCGTTTAGTAAATGCTGATTGATTGGTCACAACTGCATGAAGTATTCTTGGGGTTGGGGCACCATATAGGATATCAGTGAATGATTAATTAGTTAGTTAGTAAATTTTACGCATAACGACTACTGTGGTATTTGCAAGTAACCTCTAGCTACCAACCAATCCGAACCGGTCGTTAAAACTGCACTCATGAACCATGTTATTCATAACAATACAGTACGCTCTTGGTTGTGTTCTCTGAGCTGGGTTGTTTAGTCGTGGAGCTTTCATCGTCTTGCTAGACGACATCAGCACTAACTTCTGTGTTAAGTGAGCTGTCAGTATCTCTCCGTGAGTGATTTGGTAGTTTACCCTGACCAACTTGCTTCTGATTGGTTGTTTCCATCGCTTGTTGTGTCATTGACTAACTGCATAGATTTTCCTGTTGGCTGTTCCTCTGCTTAATCTCTGACTTTTCTGTCGTTTGTAATTTTTCTCATTGGTTGATACATTGGGTCTGCGTCTATACATTTATTGATAGCTAGCTGACCTGAATGCCGAGCTTCTAGAAATTCTCTGATATTCTTTGTTTCCTCTCTCCGTCCAAGATCTCTCTCTACATTGTCAAAATTGAATTCATGCCGGTAATTATCCACGTGCATTGGAATGAGTGATGAAATGTCGTGAACTTTAGTAGCCAGTGCGCTGTTTGGAAGAGTTGAATTAGTAGTGGAAGACTGAACGATTAAGTTTATGAAAGTAGTAGGTTTGTGATGGTACTACGTAGATCTCACATCCTTGAAAAACTGTATTGTAACAGTAGTTGTGTTTTTACGTTTACCGTTCTCCATTAGATATTTTCGTTAAATTAAAATATGTCGAAACGAATGTTTAGGTAGTATCTTCTGATAGATCCTGCCAAAGTAAAACAATCACCGGGTTAACAGCTAGAATTGTTTGTTTGCTATCTCCTGCGTTTCAATTTAGATATAATTTCGAGAAAAGAATCCCATCGGTGTTTATATCTACATTTATTTGTCGAATCCCGACCGACTTAAGTGCTTTATAATTATAATACCAATGAGAAATCCTCGGTATCCTAATTTATTAGAAAAAGGGAGTTTAAACAGTTGCAGTTATGCCGTATTACTACTGGGTGGTGATCCGTTTCCAAGAAATGGTGACAAGTTACAAGCAGAACGCTTTGATAAATTTATTGGTCACTGAAGAGTAACTAATTTCGTGTTGTCTAGTCCTGAGAGCTAACTGAGTCCCATCGATTATCAAGCTATGGAGCTCACCATCGGTAGGAAGCCCTACCAACTGCTTCCAACCATCTTACAGAGTAAAAAATATTTGAAGGACAAACTATTTTATATCTGAGGCTTTGTGTATCCATTTGATACATGGAAAAACTTGATGCCTTCAAAGCGTTTTTGTTCTTGATTGACCTAAGGAGGACGTGTTAATGACTATCTCGTTCAAACGATAACAAAGCATCAAGTAAGATGTAGATTTTGAGTTTTAATGTAAAGATGTATGGAGTGGAATAAGCCTGAAATGTAAGCCTAAGTTTACCTATTCTGTAATGTAAGATAATGAATACAATTTGTTTAGAAGACAGTTTAGTACCTTATAAAATATTTAGTTACAGATTACTCATACTAACCTTTTAGTCCAGCAGCTCTGTATTTTAAAGAAACTTAGCTTGCAGCAATGAACCACTAATGAGTTTAAAATCAAACAAGTGACTGTAGTCATCTGATATTTCTTTATTTTTGTGATGACTAGCAAAATTTATTAATCATTTTAGATTGTACACATTTGCCAATGTTGCTTAGCTATATATTTCATTATTACTTTATATGTTAGAAAGTATGATTTGTGACATTTTCAGTGTGAAACGTAGCTGGTAAACTGTGATGAATTTTAGTTCAGTTTATCAGCAATTTTAAAGTTTACTTCTTATTTTTAGTTTTTGCAGTTACTCTCTAATTAAGGTGGTTTTAGTAGGAATTTCGACTGTCAGCAAAAGTTGAGAAAGTAAAATGTTGGGCTCACTTTCGTCTCAGCTATACATTCATGTTAGAGTTTATCTTAAGCATTGTGTTAGGATGTAGTTCTTTTATAGATGATTTTTATATTTATCACACAATGAAACAGTATTTATTCACTGGATTATGTTTCGAACACAATATATTGTCCACAGTAATATCAAAGTAACTTCACAACTTTGAGATATGGTTCGCATAGTTCTAACTCTGTCTCCTGCTTTGTGATATACATAGTAGAGTTTTCCACAAATCTAGGAAAAGTGCTGGGTCATGCCTGTAGCACGTATTCAGTGTTGATTCGATCAACAAAGATTCAGTTATAAAATCCCTCCACCCAAGTTTATTTTAAAGACTGTCATTATGTCCCACTGTGTTGTGTGCATAATGATAACCGAGCTTTACTCAAGCTTCCTTATGTTAATTTTGTCAACCAATGTACATTCTAACTAGGATTTTGTGCTTGTTTATTCTAAATGAACCTGTTCGACTACCTTGACATTGCCAAAGACTAGACAAACTAAATTGTTTTGCCTAGTTGGATCGATAGGATCTTCTAACCTACAAAGCTTATTTCTAAATGAGTTTGTAGGTTTAAAGGCCACTGAGTAAGAATCCTACGTAGTGTTTCGGCATGTCTTCCTCATATGGTAATGCAGTGAAGATACTGACTTCGCTCTTCACTGTGTTTCCATTATTGAGCCAGGATCTCCAATGCACACAGCAATGACTCAGCACTCTTTCCAACTATGACTAAAATCAGACTACTAATGTCACAAAGCAGAAGAGGGAATTAGGATCGTTCAAGCTATGAGCCAGAATTGCTTATTGATCATGGTATGAGTCTGAGCAATACTCTGTGTACGGAACGTAATCTAACATTCAAACCAACAAATACAGAGATGAATTCAAGTAAATAAAATAATCTAATCTACCAAATACCATATAATGACTAAGGTCAAACTAGCCGATCGCAGTCAGATATACTATCGGAGCCTAGGAATTAAGCCAAGTGTAGAATGATGGACCCATCTACGATCAATAATCTTTGGCATTCCACGCATTGACAGGCAACTACACAATAGGGTGGGATGAAGCAACTAGTGAAGAAGCTATGTGATGCACAATGAAATATCTAGACACGCTGATATTGTATTAAAATTTACTCATATGGTGATACAACTGTACTTAAGTCAAAAATTGTCAGGTGCTGAGAGATGAATGGGTACCGAATCTTCGCTCATCTCATCAACACCCAACAGGCGTGACAGGGAACAAGTCAGACTACTATAAAATTGATCAGTAAACACGAAGAAAAATACAACGTGACAGTGGTACAGACATCTGATTACAGGTCAAGGTAGTACGAATTCTCATAGAAGGAGGAGAACAAGGAAAATGGTGTGCAAATTGTCTAAATTAATCGTAGCGGAATAGAAAAGGATTTGCTAACAAACACGACTAACATATAATGGATTAAAGTACTTTGGAAAGCACAGGAATATGAGTAATGTTTAGAAATAATATGTAGGACAATAAAAAAAATAAATAAAGCTGTATGAAAAGAACAATTTACCAAGCCAATAAAAGGTGAACCGCAAACTCCTTTGGTACACTGAAGTCTGGTTTAAGTCGACGGATTGCTTCTGTATATTACGCAGCAATCTACTATTTATCTGTTTTATTTCTTGATTACCCAAAAGCTATGAGCAGATGACATGACTTCTACGAAGTATGTGCTTGCCAAAGGCTCTGCTTAGTAGTCGTCCACCTCTCAATGACAAGGTTTTCGGTAAAAGTTCAGAAGTTCGTTTAGTAAGAACCCTCTCAGTTCTTCTGCATGCATGTTCTTGCGTTGCAAAAATATATTAAGGGAAGTAATTTGCATGAAGAAACTGTATATCAAATAAAACACGTAATATGGAATTAGATCATTATCAAAATGCCTTTGTTTTATACACATATTACTGAACAAGTAATACGTTGTATGTAAAACGTTTTCCTCTCATTAGGTCACTATGAACGAAAGATATACTTCCAAAACGTCAAGTCACACAGATGAATAGAATCTGGATAATATTTGAGTAGCCTTGTTTGTTCATTTTCATCCTCGTATCAATTAGACCATAATCGGTCACCCACTGCATTTGTAGGTAGAGACAAGCAAATCGAAGTGTGGTTGTCTTCATTTTCTATGCTTCCGAATAATTTTCAAGAACATTATATTGTAAGTGGCTAGAACTTCGACATTTCAACTGTAACATAGTAACATTGTATAATCCCAGCTGATGTGGAAACACGTTTTCCTTTTCAACAGTGGTCTAATTGACACATTGAATATATTTATATCTTCAGAATAAGCCAGGAAGTGGAAGTCGTTTCAACTTATCAAGTTTAATGTTTTCCACTTTACCCTAAACTTTCTTCTATTTCGAATATGATTCCACTTTATCAGGTGAAGGTCATTTGTATCATCTAGAAAGGGAACAAGTTAATTGTCGTCAACACTGACCCAACAGTGCTGTAATTATATCGTTGTAAGTTGATTGTGGTGTGTCCACCGGTGTAATCAATTGGCAGGTTGCCTTTTCGATGAATTCGATCAAACCTGCATACATGGATTATTGTTGATAAGACTATATGTTATTTAAGTAATTAGGATGAACTTTGTCACTGTTTATTGTAATATTGGCAGCGACATTGATGAAAGACTTTGAAAAAATTACTTCGGTGTAGTAAATAAAGTATTCGGAGATATTTTAACAAAGTAATGAATTGTGAAACAGGAGATTAGTTAGAGATGGTGATGACCTCAACATTGGAGTGAATCAACGATATGCTTAAGGATTGTGTTATTGCCATAGGCTAACAACTCGAATGGATTGTGACAATGACATTTCTATGGATCATAACTCATATATGCAGGATACTTCTGTGATAA